TAAAAGTTGAACAGAGGGCAACAAAATACTGTCTTATACCTTACAAAACCTAGATAAAATAAAAGAAACAATACAAGAGAAGCTCAAAATAAGTAAAAGGGTAAGATCGCTTCAAATAAATCTCCTTTAAACTGTGGAAACCCTTGCCATAAGATTTTATATGGATGTTAAAAGTTGTAATGGTTTGAAAAAAACATTTGAAGAGTTTTATGAAAAAAACAAACACTGAGTGGTCTTAAATCTGTGGATCCTTGTGATACCTGTGTGTTTTCAAGCAGAGCTTTGCCTGTGGGGAATCCGACTGTCTGAGGCCCATCACGTTCTTTCAGAGCAGTGCATTCAAAGGCAGTTCATTGCAAACCAAGCCACAGAAGTTTTAATAACTGTGGCCAGGTCGTATTCTGCCAGGAGAACGTCTAATCTCATGTCTGGTCATAAATTAAAGAAGACTTTTATGGTGCTTCTTGTCATATGGTGTAATGAGAAATGCAGAACCACACTGAGGCTGCCTGCCACCTTAAGAAATGAGAGCAGCTGTCCCTCAAGCAAGAACTTTATTACTGTGTTGGTTACTTGTCCAAAATGTTTTCCTCTGCCTATCAATATTGCTTTTATTGTGCCCAAGTTTAGTTCAGCCAGCTGTTCCTAGTCATAGCACTAACCCCTCTTTGGTTCCGGGACAGCTGGAGAGGGGTAGTTTATGGCAATTTGTTTTATTGGTTGGAAATGAGTAGAAAGTTAATTTTACTGAATGAGAAAGTGATGTAGAGCTGAATGTCACAATGTATCTCTAGCTCTTGTGTCTCTATTGAGCATGACAGATTCCCCAGAGGAGCTGTACAGGTATGGTAAAAGGACTGAGAGGAAAGAGAGTTTGTAGCATTTCCAGTCCAACACTTCAGAAGTCATATCTACTATTCCCCTCTGTAAAACTGACAGACAGTAGTGAGGTTCAGATTTTTAAGGTTTCTGTCTTCAATATCATCTTTTCCATGTCCTATAGAGTAGCCTTATTTAACTCTGAGTCTTTTAGGTTTTACTGGTCCCTAAAAATCTAGGGCATCTAATATAATTTAAAAGGATAGGATATTGTAAACAATTTTTAAAACTTTAATGATAAACAACCTATCACAACCTATAACGAGGCTGTTCTTCCTCTATCTACCTTTCAGACAAGCAGAAGGACAACTACAAATCCTTAAATTGCTATAAACTCATTTCTTTGGGTTATGTTTGCCTCCCTTGGTGCACCAAAAGTGCTGAACTCAAGTGAGTTTTTAATTTTGCGGGGTTAATAACCATCAGTTCAGTGTGACTCTCATAATACTGCTGGCTCTAAAGGTGTGTAAGTGACCTATTGATTTCCTTGGCATTTTGTGGCTTGTTCTGATATGAGCACAGCGTTTTTTGTAGTCATCTTGGTGCAATGACAAACAGTCAATATACTCTGCCAGTGCTCTGTTATTGAAACCTTTTACCCAGTGGTTAGATAGTATTGCCTGGAAAGGTACTGATTGAGCCATGCTGCTGGTTTATACTGAAGGCTTTTCCAGAAGCTCCTCACTCAGCTGTGAATGTTTCATGGAGCATTCTTTATTTGCTTAGCCTTGTTCTTACCCTTAAATTGCACATTAAATATAAATCTGCATCCTGATACATCACAAAGACAACGCTGTACTTCTAGCAGGCAGCAACCCAGAGAGATGATGTAATGTTTTTGGAGTGTCTAAGCTCCCTGGAGCGAGACAGGTTGGAATTCCCCCCATGTCAAAGATCTGTCCCCCCATGAGATATAAACACAGGTTAGCTTAGCCTAAATCTGGTGGCAAGCAGTGCTGCACATGCTGGCAGAACTCCTTTCTGTCCTCTAAAGGATAATAAATAAATAGCTCCCAAAATCTCAAGGGTAACTGTTGTAATGCGGTTAGGAAAAATGGTATGACCCAAAACATATACTCCTGAAAATGTAGAATTGTAAGTTTCTTTCCCTTATCTTGTTCTCCCCAGTTCCCCTTATTGACTGTGTGAATTCCCTCCACCCCTTTCCCCCATCTCAAAAAGAGAGGCTTATCGATACCTCTTCCTCTTTCCCTCCTGCAACTTCACTCTGAAAGATCTCAAGAAATAAAGCTGCAACTGCCATCTCAGCAAAGGGAAAGAGCCTTGTTCTTAGGTTCTTTTTTGATAAGCTGAACTATCTCCCTGTCTCCCTGGCTGCTGCGGGGTGGACAGTGGTGGTAGAGAGGCAGGGGACAGTAGAAATTTTAGCAGGTAACCTGTCCGGTTATCTCATGATGTGAGAAAGGACACAATGCTGGTTTGCCCTTCTGCAGAGCTCAGCTTTTCTGCCCCAACAGGACATCACTGTGTGAAGTGTGACCTCCTCTACCTGACACTTCCTTGAGTCTGGGAAACAGATTCTTTGCAGCTTAATCCTTACCACTGACCCATGGGTCTTGCCCCTGGTGCTGACTCAGCTTTGTCTCACTTCACCTCCTCCATTGCCCATTCCCCTCAACTTGCATGTCAGGAACTGTGCAGCCCCTCCTTTTCCTTTGACATTAGTGATAGGGAATGTAATTTCTATCCTAGCCAATACCCATACCAAAACTTGCTATCACTAAACATTTTTGTCCGTACTGTGCAAATGATTTAATTGTACTGGAGGTCTGTGAGCTGTCTGGGAGGGGAATATCAAAGACCAGGTGACACTGAGTCACCAGTCTCCAACTGTTAGCATATGAAATCCCCTGCAACACCCCTGCCCTTCAGCCACTGAGCTCACATAAACAAAAGCTCTACTCACAGTTCTTGTAGAGGGAAGAGCTGAGAGGAGAAAGGGAAAAGGATGGAAAAATAGAGCTTATCTTCAATCCCTTCTCCTCTGACATCTCTCAGAATCAGGAAGTAGAGGTGCAGGGCAGCAGAGTGCAGGGCCAAACCTCTTTGTGCACAGGGCTTAAGGGGAACCATCAGCATTGGTATTACCAGTCCTGCAATAGAAATGCAGACATTGTTTTTTTATTTTGCATCACAGCACTACAAAATTGCTTGTGAGGTTTTTTAGTGCTACTCCAAGGCAGAAGTCCTGCACGGAGTGGAGAAGACTTCAGCTTATGCTCTATTTACTTTCATTTTTAAGTAAGACCATAAACAGTGTTGAAAGTAAGGCTACAAGTCCACCTCACCTCACTCTTCAGTCTCAGAAACAGCCATATCTGTATTTTTACCTATGTTTTATAATAAACTCTGTAAGCATGAATTACCAAAATTCTTTCCCATGAATCTCAGAAAAGAGTAAAACCTTCAGGTAGAAATCAAATCAAATGGTCTTTCAGAGAAGTATGTAAGAATTGATTCCTCCTTCAGGACACCTCTCAGCTGAAAACTCACTGCAGAAGAATAAAAACTCGTAAAGGTAATTTAACAGACCCATTCACAACTATGAGTCTGAGCTTCTTACCATTAAGGACAGTAAGGAAAGTAAGGAAAATGAACAGTAATTGCTTGCCAATGTGAAGTCAATTAAAAAGTATCAAAACTACACAGATGCACGCACTTAGGGGTAAACTGGCCTTTGACCATACCAGCTTCTAGCTACTTCACACTTGAACTCATCCCCATGATATTTAAATTGTTTAAGCATATGCACATGAAAATAAAATCCTTATCTGAATCATCTTAATTTTCTTGAAATATCCCATATACAGATGATCTTCCAGTAAAATTGATTAGGATTACGAGGCTTCTATTCTTTGAAATTCCTACCTAGTCTAAAAAACACCAGCTAAAACGAGGAGAGTCTGTCACTGAGGTGATAAAACTGACAGACAATTTAATTAACTTGGCCAATGAGAATTTGCTTGCTTGGACAATTGGAAGTGAGGAAGCCAGCTTGCTTTTAGTATCCCAGCAATAATTATGTCTATTATTATAGTCAGGACACGGTACTTTCCACTCACTGTCTCTACGAAAATGGATGATGGGGATTGTGTTAGAAATAAATGTTATGAAATGTGTTCTCTGGAACAAGTAAACGTTTCATATGGTGGAGATAAGCTGTACAGAGCTGTGTGAATCACTGAAACAAAGCGGCCTCTCTGTTTGCATGGAGAGCGAATGATGACCAGGTGTGTCTCAGCTGGAAAATCAGAGCAGGAGCGTAGCCTACTGGCTTCTGGTAAAATTGCATTAGCAGTAATTGCTTTTGAAAGAGGCTTTGCTGTTTAAAATTTTACATGAACTGCAAAAAAATTTCCCTCCTTTAAACTTTTGAATGTTGTCCTAACGGAAAATCAAAAATAAATGTTTGATCCCCTAATTAGTGAGTTACTAAATCTACCGCTAACACTCCACACTACATCCTGAATAAAATCAAAGTTAATTTGCTTATTTTATTGCTTATTTCAAGAAATATCATGACCTATGTGTTTCCCTATGACCCCATGAAGTTAAAGGCTTGATTAGTTTTGCATCTTAATAAGTTAGAGCAATATAGTCATCCACATACAGATATTCTGGGTAGGATAGAAGGAAGCTGCACAAATTCATATTGAATTAATTCATCAAGGGAATTAAAACTTATAAAAGAAAATTTACCTGTACTCTAAGGCTTTAGCTGAAACTGCATTCACTGTCTGTGTGTAAGCACAAATTATGAAATATTGCACAAATGATGAAATATGGCAATAATAGCTCAGAAGTCAGGACTAATATTTTGCTTTTGTGGCACCCTTTTATTCATTAAGTATGATTTCTAGTCATTTCAGCTTTAGAAGACCTTAGTTCTTTTCTAGAACAAAACTTGTATTTCTCCTAAGAAGAGCTTGAATCTTCACAGGGGATGGGTGCAGCACTGCACCACACACTTCTTAGATATGATGGCTGTCTCATCTTGGTACCGTGGCATTGTATACCTCTCTATTACCTCACAAGAACTTCTTTCTTCTCTTTAAACAGAGTTTGCAGAGACCATCTGGTCTTTATTGTTTGGCCTTGCATGTCTGTGAATCTGTCTGTGTCGTATGTCAGCTGCCTCTGAAGGAAAACAGCAGAAAAGGACAGTGCAGTGCCCACACACAGACAGCACAGGGCTGGGTGCCTCAGTGCATCCCTCTTCAGCAGAGGCAGCTGAATGAAGTCAGAGGGCTGCACACCTCCTAAAAGATCTAGGTGTTTGGTCAAATCTGGGTTTGGGGTGCTTCTGTAACCAGGCTATGAAACATGACACAGTATCAATTAATAATAATTTCAACTACCAAAAACAGCAGCAGCAAATGTATTTTCTTTGCAGAATGTTTGCTTTAACCTTGAATCATCTAAACATATACAGCCTATACATGTCAAGGAGCAGAGTTACATGCCAGCCAGAGGACCTTCAAAGTTGTTATCAAATCTCTCAGAGTAGATGGGAGGCTGATAACACGCTTGTTGTCTTTGGCTTGTTTCAGTTTCCTTACTTTCAATCTCATTGCTGATCTCCGGCAGCTTCTCTGCTTGCAATTCTTATTTGACCTTTTTGTTGCAAAGTTATTGTGGAGGCTTTAAATAGTTCTTTATGAGATCTCAGTGGGTATTTCAATCTGAAATTCAGGAATAGTCCTTGTTATAATCCTAAGAATCAGCATATACAAGCTGACCTGCAGCTTAGTGTTCATTTCAGTCCCAGATGTCTATTGTCTCTCACAGTAGGTACAGAAGAGCACAGTATAAGGAAGAAAACTGTTTATTAAAACTGCTGTGAAACAGGAATTACAGGGTTAGTGTGAAAGTTTGAATTCTTCAACTGAAATGTCCTTAACATTATTTTGAACTTCTTTGGTAACTGTTAATGTTACAATAATAAGAATTCATTTCTTTTGCCCAACAGAAGTAATATTATGTATTTTACACCCAAATTGCTTCTAAATCAGTTCAGCTGTAAAAAGCTGCATCTTAAGAATAGGTTCTAATTTTTCTCTTAGAAAATTATCTGCAGATTGAAAATGCATTTGTGCTATCAGAGCTTAGATAGACTAATCATACCCCCAAACTGCAAAAGAAAAATGGTTCAATTTTTTGTTTTGGTGGGAAAAAAGAGACAGACTGTGCAATTAGAGCTTGTAATGAATGAAAACCTGAAGATTACATAGCATTCTGATTTTTTTTCCTGATGTTGATTTGCAATTTATTTTCCCAGATTAACTCAAGCAAGTACACTAGAATTACATCCACTGATTTCCATGGAACTTTCCTTTGAAGAACATTATTAATCATTATGAGGAAGAGAAAATAAAGAAGAATAACACGTAATATTTGGAAAAAATAAGAATATATGGACCAGAGTGGTGTTTTTTGTTGGTTTTTTTTTTTTGGGGGGGGGGGGGGGGGCACTGCAGTGATGACCATTAAAGTGAGAATTATGGGAGAATTTCTCTTTTAACAGAAAGATTCTGAAACCTTGTATTCCTGCACAGCAAGATAGATAAGCTCTGCTATAAAAATAATTATTGCTGTTGCCACTCTCCACATGGTCCCACTTTTATTTTTATTTTTAAATTGACACCTTTCCTTCTACTATTCATTCCATTTCATCACCAGCTCATGATTTTTGCTTCCCATTTATCAGAGAAAAAGAAAAGTTATTCTCATAACCCGGAGTTAAGCTAGAGGGATTTGTATTTCTATTTTGCCCAGTGTCACTTAGACAAAAGCTCACAGCAATAAAACACAGTTTGTATTGGAACATGTAGTAGTTTGTTGATCATTTGTGATACAGTAAATGTGCTTTCTTTAAGAGTTTTCAGTTGCAGCAGCAATGTGAATATTTCTTTGACTTTATATGCTTCACCTCTAGCACTTTCTACTAGAATTTTCCTGTGTGTATGAAAAATAGGCACCCTTTAATCACATTTCTAAGGCAATGATTTGCAATAACACAGAGGCACTGAATCAGGTGCATTGTCCATCAGCTGTGAAATCTTGGATGATTTCAGGCAGAGTCTTGTAATAGGCTAAATTAGCCACAACCCATTTTACTAGTTACTGCATGTTACTCCACTTTAAATAGAATTGGGCTATTTTATGGCAGCCACACACTTTATCTCCACTTTTTAGCTAACCCAGGAAGTGTTGTATAGCTAACATTTCCTTCTGTTTCCAAAGAAAATACAACCCTCACCTCCAGGCTAAGACATTCTGATAAGCATCTTAGTACTAAGGAGCATGAAATTGAAATGGACCGAGTGCACTCTGCCCTCTTACCCAAATGAGATCCAGAACATTGTTCTGACTTTCTTATTTCCATCTCCAAACCTGAACGGCAGTTTTAAACATTATCTTATAGGGTAGGCCTCATAGAGCCCTTAAAATCACTGTACTTCACATTTCATTTCAATAGTGATTAGCAAAGGACTCAAAAAGTCTTTGTTGACCATAAATTAACATGAGCTACCCAGGTTTTGGTACAAAAATATATGACTAGTAGCTCTGTTCAAACTGAATGGGATAAATCCCTGGGGATGTGCTTATCAAAACAGGACCATGTGTTCTGCATTATTAACTAAGGGCTGTTTACTCAGATAAGTCAATATGTAGAAGAAATTCTGAAAGAACATTTTGTTCCACAAAAAGAGTTGAGCTGAAAATATATTCAAGCTTTAGCTTTCATATTGGTCAACCTTTTGTTTTCATCTTTCATACCAGCGGGGTAGTGGAAATCCCATTTCCCAGATAGCACAAGCTGGCTGAGAGCAATCATTTTCTTCATTTCATTTAATTTCTTGTGCAGAATGGGCTAAGGATATAGCCTGGAGGCACCCCAGGGTTCGATGCACTAAGATGCCAAAGCACTAAATTGAACAGGAAATTCAGAATAAAAACAAATAGCAACAAAATCTATGTGAAATGCTCAGACAGTAATTCTAGTACCTCAGAGTACTCAGCATTATCTTTCTCCTGACTGACAATAACATACATAAAAAATATATAGCAGCAGCAGGGTCATGGGGCCATTTCTATAGTCAACCAGAGGACAGTTAGAGATGATTCTGATACTCATTTCTTTGTGTAAGGTGCTCTCTCTCTACATATTCCCCCACATGGCACATAATATTTCCCTCTCTTGGAGGATTTCTATAATGAGAATAAATTGGCTCAGGGCAGAGAGTGAGTGCCACCTTTCCTTTGCTATTTTGTGCTTGACCAAAGGGAACATAAAATGCAAATGATTCAGAATAGAAATGTTTTGCTCACTTTTGGCTCGTATGATTTGTAACACATTTTTCACCTGTGAAAAGGAATATACAAAATCTATGGCATTTAAGAAGCCACTCATGAATTTACTTTGCTTACAGATTTGCACACAATACTCTTTTAAGTGCAGCTCTAGGCAGAGAAATGTCTTAGAAAGTTTCATCATACATTACGGTCAAGAGATAAAATTTAAACAACTGGAAATTGAACATAATACTTTGGTATTATTGTTAATATTTTTTTAATTTTTCTTGTTGGTAATACAAGGTTTCTGGATGGTAAGATCACTTTTAAGGCCAAATCAAAAAGTGATCTTCAAGAGGCTTCAGTAAAAAGAAAGCAGTGCGCAGTAAGTTTACATTAAGTCAGCTGGGCAGCTGAGAATAGCCTGATCACTTCTAGAAATTATATAAAGAAAAAGTACTTCAAGTTTGAAAGCCTCTGTAATGCTGACATTTGGATGTTAAGTAGCATCTGCTTATGGCAGTGCATGAGATAATTAAAACTGATATCGAAGACCACAGTCTTGTTAGCAAGTCTGGCAAATTCATGTCTGGGTTTTGGGTTTTCCATACTATGGAGCCTCAGCTTCCTCTTCATGGCAATTGCTGAAAGAAACTTAGAATCAGCTAAATTTATTCATAGACTTTACAAGAAGCACCAGGAATTTTTTTACAACCGTTTTGTTAAAGAATTTGGATGCTTAGACTGATAAATCATAGAAGTGATGAAAGCAAAACCTAATTTGGTTTGAATTTTTTGTCAGTATTTTTCAACTAAACAAACCGTTTTCCTGTTCATCTCTCCTAAGACAAAGAACTACATTTTAAGTACCTGGAAAGGGTCACTAGGTGCTTTGCTAAATCAAACCTTTGACATGGAGTTAGGTTGTAGTCTCATGTCTATCCTACATTTTGTCGTTCACTGACACAGTGTAATCTCAACAAAAGCATTATTCATAATTTCTTAATAAAAGTTACACACAGACATCTGTAAAGTATTTGAAACTGATGGGTATGGCAGACAGCATAGATGTGCTATAACATGTACACAAATGATGCTAACAGCTTTGTAAAGATTTGGCCTGGCAGTAAATCACAGCATGAGCTCTCTCCCCTGGAGCTGCACCAATGCACGTGTGCCCTTGTGTCCCTCCTCTGCTGCAGCATCGAGCAGGGCTTGTGAGCAACAAGCCGTGCTGCATATGCAGGAGATTGCTTTAGCAGTTCTTCTGTCTGGGCTCCACTTAACCCCTCAGTATTAAACACATAAATACTTCCGTGAGAGCACAGGGAGAACGTGGAGGAAACCAGCTTTATATCTGAATTTCCTTCCATAATACCCTTGAATTTTTCCAAATAGTTTTCACTTAAGCCTTCTTCTGTTACTTTGTCACTTTTCATGAGGTCGACTCTTGAGTTTTTGCTGTGGAATGATGCCCTTACTTCAGAGAAAATGTAGAACACAAGCCACTAAAACACTTGTATTACTCATCTGTTTTTACCAGAACACAGAAACTGTTTCAAAGACAGTAGTTCTAATTCAGGGAAGAATTTTAGGGAAAAAAAAAAAAAAAAAAAAAAAAAAAAAAACAATGTATCTCAAATAAAGAGCTATTCCATGAAGGAAAGAAAAGGGGGGAAAATGTAACAGCAGACATTTGTCATGAGCTTTTACTGGAGAGACTGGTAAACTACTTTGCTTTGAAAGGGAATTCAAGAGAACCCTCAACTCTACAGAGCAGCTGCCTGTGCTTATAGAGAATCGTATCTGCTCCCTCTTGTGGCTGCTTCCGAGGGATTTTTCCTGTCAATATCAGGCAGACCACAAGTATGAGAAAGTGAACTCTGAACAGAGATCCTACACTGTACTTGCACTGCATTTGCACTCCACAGGTTTCCTTAGGGACCAGTTTTCCCCTAATGTCATAGAAGGATAGAATCATAGAATGGTTTGGATTGGAAGGGGATCTTGAAGGACATCTAGTTCCAACCTACAACTAGATCAGGTAGCTCAGAGCCCCATCCAGCCTGGCCTTGAACGCCTCCAGGGATGGGGCATCCACAGCTTCTCTGGTCAGTCTGTTCCACTGCCTCACCAACTCACAGTTTTTTTCCTGGTGTCTGATCCAAACATAAGTTCTTTCACATTAAAGCCATTGCCCCCAATCCTACCACTTCATGCTCTTATAAGAAGTCTCTCCCTGCTTTTTATAAGTCCCCTTTAAGTACTGGAAATCTGCAATTAGTTCACCCCAAAGCCTTCTCTTTTCCAAACTGAACAAACCCAATTCTCTCAGCCTTTTCTCAGCTCAGTCAGGTGCAAAAGCATGCTTAATCAGGAGCAGATTTCTTGAAAGCAGTTTCCTACCCACACGAACCATGTAGAGAGAAGAATGAAATCCTGAACAGAAGCACTTGCTGCTTTGAAAATGAAATCAAGCTAGACAAAGATAGCTTTTACATTTTCTTGTGCTAGTTGGTTTTTTTTCTTCTTCTTTCTTTTCATTTTTACCCTTTGTAGAATATTGTTGTTCCTAGCAAATAAGTTTCCTCTCACCACATAGCACCTTCATGAAGTACCACTGTGCTTTGTTTTGCAGCTTAAGTGTCAAGTAAAGGATTTCCAAAACTCTTCAAAAATTTTAAAATTTAAATCTCATTAAATCCCACTGAAGTTTTGAAAGAACAATACTGTTGTTACTGAAGAGGGCAATACAGGAGTGTGTCTTCATCTAGGGGTCACTTTAGGAGCAGCCATGAAAAGTATTCAGTGTTCAAGGGAAAAAACACATATCTGTGTAGAATTCTAAAAGCAACGAAAGACAACAATAGTAACACAGAAAACCTTTCTTCTGTGTTTTTGGAATTTTGGGTGAAGACAGAAGTTTGAGGCTGTCTTAGAAATTTCATTTAAGAAGACGTATGCCATTTAGTACACATAAACTAGCATAATTTCTTTTGCTATGTTGAGCTCTAGGTTGTGTTGTTGCTGTTTTTTGGTTTGTTCTTTTTTTTGCTGTTTTGTTTTGGTGTTTCTTGGTGG